GTGTCTGGGGTACTTTTCTGCTGGGAGTTGCTTTTAGGCATGTAATCTGTGGGTTTTATTTATTTTTCCTCCCAGTTAGGTTGCCCTCCGAGATTCAAAAACTTCCCCCAGACCCGCCAGTGCGAGGGTTTCCTGGTGTTTGGAAACTTCCTCTATTAAGACTCCCTTCCCGGGACGGATCTCCGTCCTTAGCTCTTTTGTCTCTCTTTTTATCTTTTATGTTTTGTCCTACCTCCTTTCGAAGACAATGGGTTGCTTTTCTGGGCGCCTGATGACCTCAGCTAGCGATCAGAAGTTGTTTTGTGAAGTTTGCTCTGCATTCGGTTATTCTTTTGATGAATTTGTAGGAGAGAAAGTGCTCTCCCCGTCCTATTCCTCCACCATCTTTCAACACGCTTCCAGTCTTCTGTTCTTTGCAGATGGACTTTCTCTGATTCTCCATCATGTGACTGAAGATGGGTACCCCAAAGCAGCTGAGTTTCATATTACAGTTCTAATCATGTTCAAAGAATTAGTCTCTAAAATCCAATAAGAAAATGCCAGGAAAGAGAATTTTGACACAACTTGGCAAGTGTTCACCACTGACCCAGTCAACCCAGACCAGAGGAAAATCTTAGTATGTTCATATGGTTTGCACCCTCGAGGAGATGTATCTATTAATACACCCATTCTCCCACCCAGCCTGTGGCAAGTATTCTGTGAATACAAAAGCATGCTATGGCCATCCAGAGACCATTATCAGGTAATAACCCCAAAAATGCAGAAGGCTGCAAATAAGAAAAAGAGTTTATTGAGAGTCCTAAGAATTGCATTTTGGGAGGCAACCATTTGAATGGCAACTCAAACGTGCTCTAGGTGGGGCAATAGACAATAGTGGGGGATTATAAAGGCAACAGAGACATTCTAGAGAAGAAACAAAGGTTATCATTACAGAACTATGATTGGTGCTGGCAGGCATTCAGTCACTTGCTGGCAGCAGATTGGTTGCTAAGCTGTGCTCTCTAAGGAGAAAAGAGGAAAAGTTCTAGGTGGTCTCAGGATGGCTGGGTTCAAAGTTTATGTTGGGTTTAGCAGTGGATGGGTGTAAGTTTCATTTCCTTAATGCCTCCCAGCTCCATCTTAGATCCCTTTGACATAAGCGAATCCATTTTTTTTTTAAGCCACTGATACTTAAGAGATTTGAGTTACAACACCTAGCCCACTGAACTAGCCCATCATTTATGGAGCCCCTCACACTTCTACTTTCTTCAGCCTTGGAAGACTCCCCCTCCTCCTTCAGTTCCTGCCTCCAGAACATGCAGAATCATAAATTCAGCCTTCCCCAGACCCTGCCTTTTTAAGCAGCCAATCAGTGTGACTGCCAATTAGGACCTGAAAAGGGAGAAAGTACCCTTGGACCTAGCTATGCCCACTAATCTTCATCCCAATTTGGTTTCAAAGACTACATCCCTGGGGCTTCTCGCAGTGAAGGAAAAGGAGTCTGAAGACAGATCAAGTCTGAGACTGCTTCTCATAGGGGATCCACATTCAGATCAGAGAGTCTTGGAGGCTGCGGTGGCTTGGAGGCTTGCAATTTAGGGATTCCTAAATTAGCTTCATCCAACAGATCAGGGCAAAAGCTGGGGGCCCTGTCTTTAGAACTTGTTGCAGAGAGGCGAGTCTTGACAGCATTTATATTCCACAATAATATTGAGATTAAAGAGCTTCATGGGAATACATAGTTGGCTACAACCCTGGTGTCCGTAGGAAAGCTTGCCACCTGGAGAGGAGCAGAGAAGACAAGTGAGACCCCAGAACCCAGGACGCAGCCCCACGGGTGTGCAGCTCAGCATATCCTGGGGGTACTGCTCCTTAAATATTCCTGAATGAAGCACAGGAATGCATCAACCAACTAATCAAGAATGAGGGGGAAATAGCACATTTCATGGAGGAGGACTCATACCCTCAGAAGAGAAAACGTCTGCCACCTAGAACTGAGAGACTGGAGGTAGGGCCCCTGGTGGGCTCTCCTGGGATAGCTTTGCAAGCTCTATATTCAAGCTTGCATGCTCAGCCGCTTCAGTCGTGTCCGACTCTGCGATACCATGGACCGTAGCCCGCCAGCTGCCTCTGCCCATGGGATTCTCCAGGCAAGAATACTGGACCCATGCCCTCCTCCAGGGGATCTTTCCGACCCAGGGAAGAGTCTCCTGCATGGCAGGCAGATTCTTTATCAGCTGAGCTACCAGGGAAGCCCAAGCTCTGTATATTAGAGTGCAATCCATCTCCCCCCCCACCCCCCTGCCCCCTGCAAGAGAAGACAGAAAGGATGAATAGAAACCGTTCGCTCCGCCCTGCCCATTTCTCCCCCAATCCATGTCCCTAGTTCCCCAAAACCCCATCCCAGTCAGGTCCCACTCAGCCTAATTCCAGTTACCTTCAGGAGCTAAACTCCCTGCTTTCTCCCTCTCTTCCTCCCTCCTCCCTCCCTCAGTCACCCCTCCCTCTCTCCTTCATCCCTCTCTCCCTCCCACCCTCCTCCCTCCCCTCTCCTCTCCCTCCCTTAAAGGTCCCCATTCCAGTTAAGGGCCAGTGGCAGCCCAGTACCAGAACGAGGGGATAATGCTTCACTGCTGCTGCTGCTGCTAAGTCGCTTCAGTCGTGTCCGACTCTGTGCGACCCCAAAGACAGCAACCCACCAGGCTCCTCCGTCCCTGGGATTCTCCAGGCAAGAATACTGGAGTGGGTTGCCATTTCCTTCACTAATTTAGGTTAAAAAAAGAAATCCAACCCCTTTCTATGTAGCTCCTGCTCCCAGGGGTCCTGAGAGACACCCACTGTCAACCCCTAACCTCCAGCAAAGTTCACCCCGAGACCTGTCAGGCACCACCTACCTTCATAGATCTTCCTCAGAAAGCACTGCTGGTTCTCCTTGGTCTGACAGGTGCCTCCTCTAGACTCGCAGACCCCGCTGGCGTTGACTCTGTAGCACTGGAAACATTCTAGAGCTGGAAAGTCAAACCAACATAACAAGGTTCTTCCAGGCCAGCCTCCCGGCAGCTCAGGAGGCTGTGCACCCGTGACCCAGGGGCGCCTGAGCGCTGACGGTTTCCCTCCTCCTGATGAATGTTTTGGAGGCAAGTGATTACTCCCTGCTGGGCTTCCACCTGGGAGGAGGCATGCGTGCCCCCAGGCACAAGAGCTGCACCTGAGCACAGAGAACTCCTCATCCTCCCCGGGACCCACGGTGCCGCTGGAGGAAGGGCAAGTTCTTCACTGCGGCTCCCCGGATCCCACTTGCCAGCTGATTATCACCCCAACCCCAGGGCCGCCACTGAAGATGTTCCTTGTGAATGGCATCTGCAGGAGCTGTGCGGATGAGGGCTGGAGTAAGAAGTCAGCACCATCTGCTGCTCTCCTTTTGGAAGAGCGCCCCATCCTCCACCCTTCCTGTTCATCTGAAGAGACAACCCCGAGGACCCCAGAACTCAGCCTAAAAGGGGGCAGGGAAGGGAGAGACAAGACAGGTGGGCGGAGGGGGTTGGGAAGAAAAAGAGATCAGGAGAGAGTGAGGCAAGATAGGGGGAGACAGCGAGCTGAGGAAGGGAGAGAGAGAAGGGGGGAGGAGAGAGAGAGGAGGGATGGAGGGTNCAGTAGCTGGCAAACTGATTCCAGGAAGATAACTGGGCAAGTGCACAGAAAGTTTCTGAGCTCCCATTAGCTTGGCCAGTTTGAGAAACAGAAGCATCAGCACAGGCAAAGTGGAAAAGGGCGAGAGTACTGTAAAACAGGACTGAAGAGGTTGATAGCGGTCAGACCACAAGCACGTATCTGCTTAGACCTGTGCTGCTGTGGCGGTATCCATGGACCATGTGTGGCTGTTGAGCCTGTGAAATGACAGTAGTCCAAACAGATGGGCTGTAAGTCAATTTCAAACATTTAGCACACACACACACAAATCGTTTAAATCGCTGATCAGTGACTTTGATGTTGATTACATGCTGAAATGATAGTCGTGTCCGACTCTTTGTGACCTCATGGACTGTAGCCCACCAGTCTCCTCTGTCCATGGGATTCTCCAGGCAAAAATACTGGAGTGAGTAGCCACTCCCTCCTTCTGGGGATCTTCCTGACCCAGGGATTGAACCTGCATCTTCTGCGGCTCCTGAATTGCAGGAGAATTCTTTACCACTGAACCACCAGGGAAGCCCAATAGTTTAGATATGTTGGGTTAAATAAAGTGTATATTAAAGTTAATTTTACACATTTCTGAGTTTTTTAATATGCCTACTGGAAGAGTAAAAATGATGTCTGCAGCCTGGCTTGCATCTTATTTGGACCATCATTTAGGCCATCATAAGAACTGAGATTGTATTTGAAGTTGGGAAAGGCCATCAGAGGCTTTTTCAATAGGCAGTGACATTAACTAGCTTTTTGCATGTACACTCTGGCAGCTCTGCAGACAATAGACTTTAAAGAAGAGAGTGACAGAGGCCCAGGACAGGGTTGGTGGAAACTGGAAGTTGGGAAGGAAGCCACAAGTCAACGGTGTCCAAGCAAAAATGTGAGAAATTATAGGTCAGGTATATTGAAATAGGGCTTCCCAGGTGGTGCTAGTGGTAAAGAACCCGCCTGCTAATACAGGAGATGCAGGAGACGCAGGTTTGAACCCTGTGTGGGGAAGATCCCGTGAAGGACAACATGGCAACACACTCCAGTATTCTTGCCTGGAGAATCCGCAAAGACAGAGGAGCCTGGCAGGCTACAGTCCATAGGGTCACAAAGAGTAGGAAACGACTGAAGTGACTTAGCATACACACATAAATGAGGTATGTATGTGGGAAACAGGGACTAGGAAACCTACAACAGAGCAAATAGAAGGTCATTGCAATATGCTTGTCATAGTTTTATCTTTTCGTGTCATTTAAAACTATACATTTATGTTTTTATTTACTCACACATTTTTATTTTGCAAAAAAGTTTTCAAAATTTCAAAGATAATGAACTTTGAAAAATACACGCTCAATAAAAAAAACTGAGCTCTCGATTCCTCTTCCTGTAAACTTAATGATGACTGTATAACCTGAGCAATCTGTCTTGTCAATATTTACCGTCACCCCTGGATCTGTGATGTCCTTGAGCACATGAAACCCTACTGGAGATACAAATCTGCTTGAGAATTTCAGTGATTCTTTTGAAAGTTATAGTCATTTTATTAGAACTTTGCCCTTGGATGATTTCATATGAGCAGCTGCAACAAAGGCCTCACGTGTCACTGGCTGAAGCAGGTGCAATTCCTTTTGCCCAACCCACAGCCCACAACCTCCTCAGCCTCCTGAGGCAGCCCCTGCAGCATATGTGACTGGCACACTCATCATGCACATTGGGCAGCTCAAACAGTGGAGAGCAAATACGCCTGGGAGCATCCTTCTCCCAAGAACAGATGGGGAATTGGTGGATGAATACGCCAACTTTCCTCCCATGAGTTGGATCCCTTACACTGTCCTCTACAATTTCCAGGGGGGATGGGCTCCATTTGTTCACCATGGTGTCCAGCTTATTAATTTCTTTGTGTGTTCCCAGGTGGCCCTAGTAGTAAAGAACCTGCCTGCCAATGCAAGAGACGTAAGAGATTCGGGTTTGATCCCTGGGTTGAGAAGATCCCCTGGAGGAGGGCATGGCAACCCACTCCAGTGTTCTTGCCTGGAGAATCCCATGGACAGAGGAGCCTGGTAGGCTTCAGTCCATAGTGTCACAGAGAGTTGGACAGGACTGAAGCAACCATGCATGCCTGCACATTGTCTTTCGTCCCCACACCCCTCCTGGTATTTCCTGGAATCAGCTTCCAGACAAATGATTTTTTATTCTTATCAGCTTCAGAGGATGGATTTTCATTTAGATCATGTATGCTCTTGTAAATTAATTTTTCATATTTTGTACTCCAAGTCTTCTTATGCTTTTACAGAACAAACAAAACACCTACTATTAGCAGGCTGATTCCATTTGCTAAAGAACATTGGAAAAAAGAGGTGCCTGTTAATGCCAATGATCATTCCAGTTTTAATCAATCATAGAGTAAAAAAAAACTATGAAAGTATATTCTGTAGAAGGTAAAACACCTTTTTGTAATGCTATAATAAATTTAATTGGAAAATCCACAAAGCACATAAGCTCATTTATTTTTACAGTGGAAAAATAAATACAAATGCCAGTAGAATATAGTATTGCAGCAAATGTTACTAAATTGAGAACCCAGAGAGCAAAAAATGCCCTTGCAGTTGGTTTTGATGCACACATAATTGTGAATTGTATCCTGTGTCCAAACAAGATAGTATATGAATATATACTATTCATATAGTATGAATGGGAAAACACAAAGAATATAAATAAATGTATATGCAAGTATATTTTAAATATGTGTACATTAAAATATATAAAATATTAATATATACAATATCTATTAATATATAAATATTAAAATAATTGATGTATTTATATAGCATATATGATGAGCTATATATATGAAAATATATATCCTATATGTATGTGCACATACACACCCACAGGTAGAATAGCTGAACTGTAAAAGTTTTGTGGTAAAGGTAATGTGAAATAAAAAATAGTCTTCAGCAAAAATTCTCCCTGCTCCCTGGCATCAAGCAGATCAGAAAATGGATAAGCTTCTGAAGAACTACATTGGGATTCAATCTAAGTGTTCTACAACAATTAAAGGGCATTTTGTAAAAGGTCCCATAAGTATTAATTGCACTCTGGTCCTGTAATAGAGAGTCTGACTCCAGTTTTTGACATTTCACAACTGGCAACCTTGAAGTCTTGCGCTTTGTGTCCCACATGTGGGCCCCAGGAGCTCCTTCTTTCAATATTGGTGGGAGTTTCACACCACACAAGCCCCTACCTGAATGCAGGAACCATCGCCCTGTCTTTCTTCCTCACCATCACCTAAATTCAAGAGTCTCTTTTCTCTGCTCCCCCAAGCCATCTTAAGACACCTGGCAGTAAGCCCTGCTCTCCCAAGAAAGCCTCATGAGATAACTAACAAGGCTTTTCATACCCTCCTGGTACGTATGTGGCATCCTCAGTCTTGACATATAATCCAAGTTTGGGTGAGGATCCATCCTGTTTCTATCGTATAACCCCAACAGTTTAACATCTTCAAGTGTTCAACAAATGAAGCACCCAAGTATTTCAGCTTTCAAAAATGTTTAACCAGTTGAAATTATGAAAAACAGACTTTCAAGCAAAAAAGATATTGAAATGAATTCCTACAAAAGCAGAATGCCCCAGATTATAGGGTAAATGGTAATCTTATCTCTTGGACATTCTAATGTCTAGGCAGGTAGACAAAGAGTGGAAGAGACAGGCAATGCCTAGAACCATAGGCTGCCACTCACCCAGGTTCCCCTCTGTCCTCCTACATGCTGGGGGCTAGGGGGGCGGTGGGGGGAGCAGGGAAGCTCACCTTGCAGTAGTCCGAGCTGTGAGGACAGGACCGCCAGCAGCAGTAGCAGGAGGCACTTAGCCATCTCTGGATCTGGCTCCAGCCCCAAAGACTTAGAGAAGGCAGGACTGAACCACAGCCTCAAGAGCCTCTGAGATCCCGGCTTTATAATTCCAGGCGGGGAGGAGCAGCCAATGGCAGCACAGGCAAAGCCTTGCACTTTCCCAGACAAAAACCACAGAGTGCCTGAAGGAACCAGGGCCCTACATTCTTTCCAGCAATTACTGGCTTTGCTCACTTCCACTGGCCCTACTGAGGAAGCCAAGGTACGTAAGAAGAGCTGACTCTCTCGTGTCCCCATTGCACAATGGTAAGATTGAAGACTAGAGTCTGATTTACATCACCTAGGGACCTGGGAATTCAGTTGAATTAGTGATGTTTTACCATTTAAGAGGTTTACCATATTGAACCTAACTACTGAAGTATGGTGTGGATAAAAAACTGCTATTGAGGATTCTCTCATTAAAATAAGCTAGGGTAATAAACACATGCTTAGACTTTGTAAAGTGCAGGCCAGACACAAATAGATTTTGATGATAGCATTACCAACCAGGATCCTTGGCCTTAATCAGTAGAAATTGATCAGAGGCCAGACAGAAAATTCAGGCAAAGCTTTATTGGGGCCCCTGCTGCAGCAGGGGAAGTGGGAACAAGCAACAGGTTCACTTGGTCACTTACTCGCTCAGGGGAGGCGAGCTGGTTCCTTACATGGGGTGACGGTAGGGGTGTGTCCAGGGGTCAGGCAAGAGGGGTTACTTAGATGGTTTGCCCACCCCTTTAGTGGTGGTGAGTGCAGGAGCCATGCATATACCCTACATTTGCTCCCAGCTCTTCAGAAATTGGGGTTTTGGTCTCTTTTTATCTTGTTGTCCATAATCTGTTCCAACTGCACATGTACACAGTTATTTTTCGTTTCTGTGGGGTTTTTTTGCTCAAGGAGACATTTGTCAGTTACAAGCCCTGGAGCAAATTGTCCCAGCCTGTTTATCAGATACAAGCACTTGAGCAAAGGATCCCTGCCGGTCTCGGTAGTATTGTCTCCTTTCTTGGAAATGAAACACAGCTGCATTTGTTTTTTTCACTTTTTGGCAAATAGGAACAAAATGGAGTATTTCTCCCCAGGTCATCAAAATCTGTACTATAAGTGTTACCAAAAGAGTGTTGGGGGGTCCAGCTGCTCACCCCTCAAAAGCCAAAAAGCAGGCCAGGTTAGTGGAAAGTTTGCTTTATTTCAGGTGTTGGCACCTGGGGGGTAGGGGGAGGTGGGCAGGGAGGGTGGTGGACGTTGTCCAAAGGCTGACTCCCCTCTCTCCCCTGGCAATGAGTGGGGCAACAGCTTTTATAGACAGAAGGAAGGGGCCACATGCAGAAACAGCACAGTCAGCAGCCTCACACTGGTCACTGATGGTCTGGCCCACATCATCTTGACTGTTTCAGGTTTAGTGAATCTTCAGGTCCAGGGTCCATTTGTTCCCCTCTTTTTTAGATGAATTCTCAGAGAATTGTGGCAGCTTATGTCATGGGTACTCTTTGGTCATAATGTAGCTAATTTCTTCACCCTAGTGTTTTCATATCTATAAAACAGCTCTCAGGATGTAGCTCAAAATATTATCTATAGTCTTTGGTGGCTCAGATGGGAAAGAGTCTGCCTGCAATGCAGGAGACCTGGGTTCAATCCCTGGGTCAGGAAGAGGCCTTGGAGAAGCGATGGCAACTCACTCCAGTATCCTCGCCTGGAGAATTCCACGGACAGAGGAGCCTGGCAGGCTAGAGTCCATGGAGTCACAGAGTTGGACAAGACTGAGTAACTTTCACTTCTCTTAAGAAAGAACTAAAAGTCATTGACTATATTTAATGACCATATTATTATTATTTGGTCTCCTTTGACTGTTTTCCTTTATTTCCATATTTCTAATTTCTCTGATTAAACTTATTCTTTGACTAAAGTCTTCCCAGAAAAAAGGCAGGTAGAGGACATGGGGGGTGGGGTGGGGGAAGGACCATAGATAGGGTCCTGCTCTGTTTCACAAGCGACCCAGAGTTCTCATTATTATTTTGAATCTCATTTTTCCTTTTAAAATGAAATTTTCTTTTCTATTCTGGATGCTGGACTACAGCTAGTGGAGAACTCACTTTCCAGAACAGTGTCAGGAGAAAACCTGCTGACCTAACCCCACACGATCCAATGAAATAACTATCACTGGCAAAAAGGATATTAAATACAATCATTCTAAACCTCTGAAAATTGTCATAAAGGCATACAGAAAATCAAGAAACTTTTTTTTTTCAAGAAAATCTACTAAATCTCAGTAGGAACAGTGAGAATCTAGGCAGGTAATGCCACCAAAAGTGGAATCCAGATGCTTGTCACTCAAAAGTCTTTGAAGAGGCCAGGTTGATGAAATGAAAGTTTGCTTTAGTTTGGATGTCAGCAGTCCATAAGAATATAAGAATCTGAAGTTCTCCCCCAAAAGAACAAACTTGATTTTTAAACAGAGTGTGGGGATGTTCAAGAAAAAGGGTGCCTTCAAAAACAATGGAGATTTTGGTGGTAAGCAAAGAAAAGACTCTTAACCTCCCTGCAAGGAACACCGTAAACTGTAGGTTAGCTAGTTTACTAGAGAGACCCAGAGAGAGAAACAGCTAAGAAAATCCTACTTGGGGCAGAACAGATATGAAAGACTGGCCTGAAGTTTGACCTTTGCAAAAGGGCCTGAAAATAATTGGATCAGACTCTGAAGATTTTCATGCCCAGGAGACCATCAGCCGGTAAGCATGAAGTCCACAGCTTTGTGTAATGACAGTTTCACAGAAAATCAGGGAAAGATCTGGCATACCCCTCTCATCCCAGGAAGACTGTGACCATGCTCTAAACTGTGCCCTCTAAGGTGACATCAAAGCACACTACAGGGGAAATAGATTTCACTACACTTGAAACTGCTGGAGTGTCATCTCGGGCGGCTCTGAAGAACACTGGTACCATAGTCCTTTATGTCTCAGCACAAAAATAATTCAGTGAGAGGCAAAGTGATAGGTGAGCTTCCCAGGTGATGAGTGATGAAGAATCGCTCTGCCAATGCAGGAGATGCAAGAGACGCAGGTTCAATCTCTGGGTCAGGGAAGATCCCTTAGAGTAGGAAATGGCACCCCACTCCACTATTTTTGCCTGGAAGATTCCATGGGCAGAGAAGCCTGGTGAGCTATAGTCTATGGGGCTGCAAAGAGTTGGACACAGCTGTATTACTGAGCACATATCGCAGAGTGATAGATAAGAAGTGATGTATTAGAATAAGATGCTTGTGAGGCTTACAAGTAGGTGGAAGGGGGGGTACCACGCCCTGAGAACTTATGGGGCTACAGGTTTATAATCAAAGGAAAAGTGGGGATGTGGAGAAGAACTTCTTGGTCTTTTTTGAATAGACATCATGCTTCTGTCATCAGCTCCTTCTCCAGTTGACCAGGGGAATTTTCTTGTTCCTACATGGTCAAGCTAGGCTCACAAATTACTGTTTTTTTGTGTGCAGAGCACATGTCCTAGGGATCATTCATTTACTGAGCTCACCAGGTAGGCTGTGGGTCTCATGCCACCATTGTTTTATTGTTTTGGGGCATGTCTCATGCTTTTGTTTCATGGTTTTGTTGCTAAGCAAGCCTGCTTGGTTTTGTGATTAAGCAAACCTGCTTTCTTGAGTAATCATTAGCTTAAGGGGTCTCATATTTTTTTCCACTTACAATCCTCTAGTGGAATTAACTAATCACCTACTTTGTCCCTTTACTCTGTCCCTATCACAGTAGTCCAACCAATTCACTAAACAAATAAACAGAAAATCATAACAAAAACAACAAATGCTGGGAGGTAAGGTGAAAGAGCTGGAATCAATATCCAGAATTGCAGTGATAATTTGTTTAAATGTTCAGTTTTCAACCCCAAATCATGAGACATGCAAAGAAACAGGAAAGTGTGACTCATACACAGAAAAAAAGAAAAAACAGGCAAGAAAAACCTCCTGTGACTGGGATTGGGAGGTGTGGAGGGGGTGATGTTGGTCAGAGGGCACAAATTTTCACTGTAAGATGACTAAGTTCTGGAGATCTAATGTGCAGCATGGTGACTTGGCACTTGCTAAGAGAATAGGTCTTAAGCGTTCTTACAACACACACACACACCCAAAGATAACTATGTAAGATAGATTTTTAAAAATAATTTTATTTATTTATTATTTGTTTTTGGCTATACTGGGTCTTTGTTGATGTGTGCCAGCTTTTCTCTAGTTGTGGCAAGCACGGGTTACTGTCTGGTTGCAGAGTTGTGGCTTCTTATTATTGGTGGCTTCTTTTGTTGAAGAGCACAGACTCTAGGTGTGTGGGCTTCAGCAGTTGCAGCACATGGCCTCAGTAGTTGAGGCTCCTAGGCTCTAGAGCACAGGCTCAGTAGTCGTGGCCCACGCACCACATGCCCTGTGGCATGTGGGACCTTCCTGGACCAAGATCGAACCTGTGTCTCCTACACTGGCAGGCAGATTCTTTACCACTCATCCACCAGGGAAGTCCCATAGATATTTTAATTAGCTTGACTGTGGTAATCATTTCACAGTGTGTACATACATGAAACCATCACACTGTATCTTTTAAACATGCATAATTATCATTATCAATTATACCTCAGTAAGGGCTTCCCTGTGGCACTAGTGGTAAAAAACCTGCCTGCCAATGCAGGAGACATAGAGACATAAATTTGATTCCCTGAGTCAGAAAGATCCCTGGAGAAGGGCATGACAATCCGCTCCAGTATTCTTGTCTGGAGAATCCCATGGACAAAGGAGGCTGGCAGGCTACAGCCCATAGGGTCACACAAACTGACACTACTGGAGCAACTTAACATGCATGTATATCTCAATAAAGCTGGTAGGGGTTTCAGCTGAAAAAAAAAAAAGTGCAGTCTAAAAGTTGAGTTGTTGTTCAGTCAGTTAGCTGTGTCCAACTCTTTTTTGATCCCACGAACTGTAGCCCAATAGGTGCCTCTGTCCGTGGGATTTCCCAGGCAACAATATTGGAGTGGGTTGCTGT